CATAAATATATTTTATATAATTCGAAATTTTACATTATTTAGAGAAAAAATTTTTTATTTTTAATTGAAATTTTGCTAAAAGTTCTTGAATTATTTAAGATAGAACATGCAATAATATTGATTAACGATGCAGAGAATTGTCTCTTATGATCGAGAGTTTTTTTTCTTTATTAGTATTAGTAGTTTTATAAATATCTTATGAGAGTTTTATTATTATTGTAAATGGTATTATTTCTTTTTTTTTTATTTTCTCTTTATCTTCTAGTGATGGGAATGATATTATATTTAAATTGTCGAAATAAATTTTATTTTTATATTAAATATATATATATATATTTTTTTAATTCAAATCTATTTTTTATTATATTGTAAATATACATATGTATATTATAATTCTAATAAATAATAATTTATTTTTTTAAGAAGTATTTATCTTTAGGAAAAACTCTCGTTTTGAAAGTTCAGATATCACGAGGATATTGGTCCGATCACTATTCACATTCTTGGACGCTTCGCAGCCGGCATGTGCGCTTTGCAATCGATTCCGTGGTCAACGCATGCCCTGCTTGCTCGTTCTTCGTGGAAGAGTATTCAGTCTGTGGTATTCTGCGATATAAGATACGCAGAAGAAGAAATGATCTAAAGAGACAATAATCTCTGTGTTGAATGAGCAATCGTATTTCGTTTTTCTTGTTTTGAAACACATGATATATTTTACAAAGACTGAAGAATCTTAGCTCTAGAATGTGTTAAAATTGAGAAGATAAAACAACCAAGTGTCACGCCCAGGTAAGCCAACAAAGAGACATATTTTTTTTGCCGCTAGAAGCGCCATATAGATTCATAGGAATAAGGAAGAGATTGGAAAAGAGGGGAGGGAACATGACTACAACCTGATGCTTCTAATATGTAACTAAATAGAGATATGATCGATACAAAATGCTATTTGCATAGAAAATTAAAGAAAACACGAAAATTGAAGATAGAATATTTTTATTATTAAATACGTAGTTGAATATTGACTTCTTCATTTTGAACTTAGATAATAAATGAAAGATATTGCTGGGTATCAAAGATAATGTTCGTTGAAAAAAAAGAACAATTATTTTTATTTAATTGCTTGATAATTAAAATTGAAATAATTACTTAGAGTACATATCGAAAAATTGAATCATCGAATAAAGATTAAATTCCATAAATTGTTGTAAGCTGTTTTCCGATAACAGTATAGTAATTTATTTTGTCTTATTTCGATGTCGTTCGATTATAGAGATGTGTGCACAATGATTGCGTAAATTTAAATGCTTATGTCGTTACGCAAAAATATACCGCACCCTTTGTAAAACCATACAATACTTGTCAATTCATTATTTGAATAATTAATTTTTACAAGATTTTTAATAAAATTTTATTTTAT